ACTAAAAAGTTTAGAAACTTGAAGAATCTCATGAATATAACTTTCATTGTAGTGGTGTTTGTCTCTACGCCGCAGAAATTGTATGTGATACATAAGAAGTCATGAGTAGATTGCTTAATCTGATCGGTTAGCGGAATCGTATCATTTTGCAAGAAGAACACCAATTTAGACTGGGATAGTGTGTGATGCACAACTATCTACAAACAACTCCCGGAGCTTACCTTCACCTTTTAAGTAGAAATTATTGAAGTTGAAAAAATCAACTTGGATCGATCGGTTGTAAAAAACAAATCGGATGGGTTTCTAAAAAAACTTCTCCATGATGCTTTCATTGAGGCTTTCCTTGCTTGCCGTGAAGGGGGAAAATGCATATGAGCCTTAATTAAGATGAAGTTTGGGTTCTCTTGCTACTGTACTGCTAGTCTAAATTTTACGTGTTGTCTTGTTGTTTTAATTTTTCATGCTCTGTTTTGCATGATCTAAATTTTTCATGCATTTTCTAGAGTTATTATTTTTCTTATAAAACAACCCTTTCTTTAATTGGCTTACCAATTACGATATTATCTTTTAATTAATAATTTTTCTTGGTTATTAACCAAAATAACCCAACCCAAACTTCATGTTGCTATCGTTTATTGGGAGTAAACAAAAATTCATTACAAAAATAGCTAGGGGAATTAGCACCAATAATTATTTACTAGACTACAATTTTTTGTTATTTTGCTAGTTATAAGTCATATTTGGTTTTTAAGCAAATTCACTTATATCGTAAAACATTTTTTATTTTATTTTAGTGCAACATGAAAAGAATACCCAGTCCAGCTCAAGTTTGTGGATCCAATACGGTTGGAAATAGAATTTCACACAATTTTCTCCTCGAACCCAATTAATCGAGTTACTGGGCCGAGTTAAGCCCAATAAGACCTCTCTTTTTTTTTTTCTAATCTCTTTTAAGAACAGTATGAGAGCTTTTCGTGCGTTGCTGGGAAATCTGAATCCGTTTCGCAACACTCTGTGATTTATCTGTGATGATGATGAGCGAGTCTTAGTAGTGAATTCGAAGACGAAGCAAATGATGGTTCGAGATATGAACTATCGAAGGTTTGATCTCCTCTGCATCCTTAAGATCAAACCCTAATAATCTTGTCAATAGCGATATTGATTCTCTTCTTTTTATCGATCGAATCTCATACAGATCTGTTCATAATAATCAGATTCCTCTTATTCTGAAATTCCTTTTTTTTTTTTTTGGGGGATTCACCGACACTCTTCAGGGCTTTTCGAAATTACTACAAATTGTGTGAAGATTTTGATTTGGAATTGTTAGAATTTGGAGACAAAAAAAAATGGTTATGATATAAGAACCAAACGATTCTGTTCTGTTTTTTTTTTTTGTTGTTGTAGGGAGAATCGTGCTTCGAGAACGTCTCTGTTTGATGGACTTGATGGACTTGAGGAAGGTCGCTTAAGAG